TGGAAGATTGATTGCAACTCTCCAGGACTATCATGTTGTTTTGTACTGAGATATGCAGGAAAGAGGCACAGTACACAGTTCCCATAGCATTGTGCAATGAACATTAAGAAACTAAGGAAGACAGCTGCATTGGTCTATGAGGGATAAAATCCATTAATGAGGAGAGAAATATCTAAATTCCACAGCTAGGAAGAAGAAGAAGAAGAAGAAGAAGAAGAAGAAGAAGAAGAAGAAGAAGAAGAAGAAGAAGAAGAAGAAGAAGAAGAAGAAAGGAAGAAGAAGAAGAAGAAGAAGAAGAAGAAGAAATATATACTGCTCTGATATTTAACAGATACATAGGACATATACATAGGTTTTTGGTTGAAATGTGTATCTGTTATATAATATCAGTCAATGTTTTTATAATTTTGATTTACTGTGCTTGTGCTTTTATTAATAATAATAACAATAACAACAACAACAACAACAACAACAATGTGCTATCAAGTCAATTCTGACTTAAGGGGTCCCTTTTCATGGTAGACAATAGCTTGTCCAAGACCACATAAGCTTTCTATATTTGTGGGAGGCAAAGTGGGGAATTGAACTCCTGGACTGACCAAGAATTAATCAAAATTCCCAAAATTTGCCTATGAGAGAAAGTATAACTGACAGATCTGACCAGTCCCATACATCATTCAGATCTGACTGTTCCAGACTCGTGAAACTATCCTTTGCAGGTAACCAAAATGTAACTATAGCAATATGGAGGCTACTGGAAGGCTGCTGAATTTATCTGGAATTCACAGCAATGCCAATTTATTTGGTATCACTGGATAGGAAGAGAAGCTCAGAGGTGTATGGGAGAAGCTCCCACTTTGGCTCTTCCATGAGTCAGTGTTAATCCAGTTGGCCAAGGAATCATACTGGTATGATCTGAGACAGGGCTGGTCAATAGGTGGCCTTCCAGATGTTGTTGGGCAGCACCATCCCTCAACAAAGCTATGCTGTCTATGATTGGAGCAAACTGCAGGCCAACAAAATCTGCAAAATCACATACTTCCCATCCTAGTCTAAGAAATCTTGTGGATCCCAGTGAGGTGGGAAGGAGTGGTACTGCAAACTCTTTACTGTTCTTGCTGCAATCAACTGGCAACGCTACTCCTCTGGAAACTGTTCCAATGGGAAAACTGTATAGAATGGAAATCCATCAGTCTTGCATTGAATGATGGAATATAATTTATGAAAGCTCATGCCATAACAAGTGTGTTAGTTAGGGACTGCAAGACATATTTGTTACTATAGTATCAGACTACTCATGTGAGTAGTGCCCAGGAACATTTTTTTCATGTCTGTGAACCACCTCTTAGTTCCTGCAGTGACATATGTATGCAGCACACTCACATGCATATGTACAAATGCTGTTTGTACACTGATGTGTAGGCAAAGATCCTTTCAGATATGCCAATCAAGAAGAGCACCTCAATTAATAGTAGGATTTTAGGAGCTTCCATGTGACTACCTTTGCACTTCAATCAAGATAACTGAAGATAGATTGAAAAACTGTTGAGAAAAGAAAAACAAAGATGAAAGAAAAGAAAAACAAAGATGAAAGAAAAGAAAAACAAAGATGAAATAATGCCCAATAGTTTTTTAGAGGCATTGGACTACCACTTCCAGTATCCCTCAGCCTGGATAAACATTGTCCGTGCTGGTTGGTAATGATGGAGGTTGCAGTAAATTACTTAAGAACTCACTAGTTTGGGCAAAACTTAGATGTACAGAGATGTATACAGATGTGCTTTATGCTAAATTAGACCAATGGCGCATCAAGTGTAGCACTGTCTATTCTGTCTGACAGCTGCTTTCCAAGATCTCAGTCAGAAATGCCCTCTGTCCCTAACTTACTTGAGATCCTTTAAGTGGAAATGTCATGGGTTGAATCTGAGGCCTTGTCTATGCAAAACATATGTTTTGTCTCTTAAGCTGTCAAAGTAAAGGTGATTTAAGGGGAGTTGAGTGAGTTTCTTCTAAAATCAAAACCATAGGACACAAAGGAAGTATGCTTACAATGTTAGAGAGTTTAAGCGTGTGCCTCCCAGAAAAAGATAGAAAAGAGAGCGAGTCACTAACAAAGAACAGCTAAGAACAGATTGGCGGGACGTCTGTCCTGTCTGACGTTTCCTTTGATTCTGAGGCTCTGTGGCAATAACCCCAATGTTTCCAAACCACATCTTTATGGATGAACAAGTACTGCTTCCCTTTGTTGCAGCCTGATTCATTCACCAATGCTTCCTCTCAAGATTCTGTGTCACTGCAATTCATCACCATGGAAGGAGCTGTGTGATATAGCCTTCACAACATCTCTGCAGGCAATGGATAAGAGGAGTGGATTGATAAAGGGGGAGGAAAGGCTTCTCTTTAAAATGCAAATTTCTTGGCAATCAGAAAAGGAGGGGGATAGTTTAATGAGGTCCTAAAAGATTAGTAGCAGAATTTAAATCAATGAGTCTCTAGCTGCTCTTTAGAATACCAAATCTGGTGTTTTCAGCCTTTGCAAATGACATTCACAGACCAACTGTAACTTCCATGACTGGCCCCTAAAGGTGCACTATGACCTAATCTGGTGATAGCTATACAGTGGTGCCCTGCAAGATGATGTTAATCCGTTCCATTGAAATTGCTGTTTAGCGAAAACATTGTCTTGCGAAAAGCGTTTCCCCATTGGAATGCATTGGAATCCGTTTAATGCGTTCCGATGGGGAAAATAGTCATCGTTTTGCGAAGATCGCCCACAGGGAAGCCATTTTGCGAAGCGCTGATCAGCTGTAAAAATCACTGTCTTGCGAAGCATCGGTCCCGAAAAAAAACCATTTTGCGAAGATCGCCCATAGGGAAGCCATTTTGCGGAGCCCCCGATCAGCAGTAAAAATCATTGTCTTGCAAAGCATCGGTCCCCCCCGAAAAAAAGTCTTGTGAAGTACGGACTGAAACATCGTCCAGCGAAAATCACCCATAGGAAACACTCACAATCGCAAAAACTCATCGTCATGTGGATTTGTCAGTTTGCGGGGTCATCGTCTAGCGGGGCACCACTGTAAATCTGTTTTGAGGGTCCTTCCTCATCTCTCTTTCCTCATGGCTGCCATTACCATCAGATCCTGAAAAAGTTGCTTTTGGGGGGAATGTAACTCACAGAGACCTCCACCCATCATGCAGCCAGTAGCCGGGAGATTCTGAGAGTTGTCATTCACAAAAGTAACTTTTCTAGGCTGGCTACAACATGTGTAGCAGTGATGACTGTCACTACAAAAGAAGGATTAGGAAAAGCTAATTGAAGTGAGTGGGAAGAAAATAAATAAAGAAAACAATGCCCTTTGACTTTTTAATACTTTTTTTCCTCACTGTGACTTCCATCCCAGAAGATACTTGTTTGGATGATAACTCCCAGAATTTTGGACCATAGCTTCCAGACCTACTTCCTTTGTGTACCCCACTAAGGCAGAGGTACAAAAGTTTATAGGTCTCAACCACAGTGACATCTGTAATCCCTAATTTACCGTTTTGGTTAAGACTTGTGAGTTTCTGTCTCATAAATTCCACTGCTTATTTGAGAAGAAAATGATCATAACACAAGGTGTGCTATGAAAGTAGAAGTTAATGCAAAGTTGCTTTTTTGTGGCCCTCAGTGTTTGATTAGGACACAACCCTGTGCATAAAGGCTTCAAAAACATGTGACAGAAGGGAGGAGCTGCCATTTTGTTGTTGAGAATGGTGCATTAACATGATTCTACAGTTCATAATGCCATGTTCAGCTTTATCATGGAACTTCCCAGATGCAGGGCGAAGCCACAAGGGTCTTGTTTTACTTCCAAAGCAAGTCTTACCCCCCAAAATGCAAGCAGAATATGAGGGATGAAAGAGAAATGTGAAAGCACTAGCCTTAGGTGACTTTTATTATTATTATTGTATTAATCTGAAATACTTGCGAACATAACCATTTGATGTTGGGTTTTGGCAAAACAAAAACAAAAACAAAACACACAAAAAAAGAGACTCCCTCCTTTGTTTAAAAAAAAGCAGAGAAAAGTCAAAGAAAAAGAAATAAGATTGTTTATGTGTTTCACTTTTAAGGACAGATTCTCATAAAACTCCATTTTTACAAGGTACACAGAAATTCGATGAAATTCTGTTCTCTATTATATAAATGCTTAACTCGCAGCAAGCCTCAAAATTAAGGAATAAATTAAAAAAATAAAAGAAAGACTTGGGGAAAAGGTATTCAAAAATAAAGTAGACTGCAGTTGCCTGCTGGATATTACACTGTCATATCTATCCCACAAGAAAAAAGAAGAAGCCATCAAACCATCAAAATGTATCTAGGCTCAAAGTGAGAAATCGAACCTGTTTCAAATGGCCACAATCAGCGCTGACTGTTGAGTGGATACATTTTGAAGCATCCATGCTGCAGGAAACATGGCACAGCCTAATACTGGTTTTGGACCCACTACATTTTTAGTGCACCTCAAATTCTTCACATAAAAAATATTTGAATGAATACTCGGCCATGTTAACCACATTCAAAATCCCATGGACAAATGGAACTTCCTTTGCATGTTTCCACATCTACCGAGAAAGCTTAAGTAATAGATGTGGAAACAGGCACACGTTTATAAAATTGGTAGCCCAAACTTTTGGTATGACATTGTTGGTACTAGACATGTCACTTTCTCCCTACCAGAGTCAGTTCAAAAAACAACTACAAATATGTAGCACAACGATTCAGGAAAAACTGAACAGAACTGGTTGTGTATGTTTTACATCTGCCAACTCCATGGGATTGGATGCTTGGCTTTAGGCATTTATATCAGATATGCAGTCGTACACGTATATACATATATCACATATACATATATACGTGTACATATATATGTATACAATCACACAGACATAAATAGGTAGGCATCGTGTATTGCAGATTTTAAAAAAGCAAGCAAAAAAAGAAGACTGACCTGGCTTACCTACACTCGGCTCACATTCAATGAGATCTTCGTCATCGTTAGAACATTCCGCTGAAGAAACAAGGTCATCTGTTGTCTGTTGTGTGAACAAAAACAAGGAAACAAAAAGCAGAGGGACAGTGATCAGATATAGGGTATGGCATTAAAAGAGAGATAAAACTGTAACCAGGGTAATAAGCAAAGTGTGACCGTTCTGATCACAAAGTCAGTAATGAACAGAGACGGAAAATGTTACTTTGGGGACTAGAAGTCCCAGAATTTTTTACTTTGCATGGCCACTGACCATCGTGACTGTGGAATTCTAGGATCTTTAGTACAAAACAACAACATTACCAAGGGCTTGTGGAGAAGCACCACCACCAACAGTAAACTCTGAAGGTAAGAGAATTTGTGTGCTGGGTCAGACCAAAAGCTGATCAGACATTCTGTTTCCACAGCAGCCAACAAGATGCCTGTGGAAAGCCTACAGGCAGAACATGAACACAAAGTACCTTGTGTATTCAGAGGCCAATTGCCTTCTCATAATGAAGGTAATATACCACCACTGTTCAGTGAACAAGTTTCCTTGGACAATCTTCTATTACCTCAGAACCCACTAACAGTAGTTTTGTGCCACTGGATTAACCATTGGAAACCTGAGCCTCAATAGTGATGTGAACAGTATGTGAAAAGGTTTCTTTGATTAAGTGGTCACACATCAGTACTACAGTCATGATAATCTTATACCCTGCATTTTGGAGAGGAAGGCCAGCCTGGAGAAGGTACACCTCAGGGATCTGTACGCTTATCCCATATTTATCTTGAAGTAACACCTACACAGCTGCTGGACTATTAAAATATATGCTAATGTTAAACCAATTAGTTAAAACAATTAAAAAACACCTTAAGAGCGACATAAAGTAATATAATGTACAGCATCTCAAACCAAAACTCTTTACTCTCAACTCAATTGGGAAAAACCTGTCTAAAAAGGGATCTCACTGAACCGAATAATTACCAGCCAGTCTCCAGTACAGTGGTGCCTCGCTAGACTTTAAATTATAATTATCTATGTAAATTATAATCATTTAATTAATTAATTAATTAATTAATTAATTGTTATAAATTTTTCTTGAACTTGTTATCCTTTATGTTGTAAGCCACCAAGAGTGGTTGAAATGACTAGTTAGGCGGGGTATAAATAAATAAATAAATAAATAAATAAATAAATAAATAAATAAATAAATAAATAAATAAATAAATAAATAAATAAATAAATAATCCGTTCCAGTGAAATGGCTGTTTAGCGCGAAAAGCATTTCCCCATTGGAATGCATTGAAACCTATTTAATGCGTTCCGGTGGGGAAGAATCGTCGTTGTCTAGCAAAGATCGGCCATAGGAAAGCCGCTTTGCGAACTGCCGATCAGCTGTTTAAATAGCTGTCTTGTGAAGCTTGGGGCCCGAAAGCACACGTTTTGCAAGCGCAGAGGGAGCTGTCAAAATCGTCTAGCGAAAATCGGTTTGCGAAGCAGGGACCAAACATTGTCCAGCGAAATTCCCCCATAGGAATCACGGTTTTACGAATTGCTATAGTGATCACAAAAAGTCAATGTCTAGCGAAAAAACTGTCATGCGGGGTAACTGTCTAGTGAGGCACCAATGTATTCCATTTTTTGGGAAGGTGTTCAAGAATGTGGTGGCTTCCTAATTTCAGGGGTTCCTGCATGAAACAGATTGTCATTCCTATCTGGCTTCAGGTTTGGTAATGGGACAGAGACTACTTTGGCCACCTTGCTTGCATCATCTACGCTGGAAAATGGACAGGAGGAGTGTAGTCCCATTTGTTCAGATAAGTCTTTCAGTGGTAGTATCTTTCAATACTACCCGCCATGGTATCCTTCTGGGCCATGTCTCTGAGATAGATCTTGGAGGAGCTGTTTTATGGTGGCCATGGACCTTCCTGGAGGGCTGAGTTCACAAGGTAATATACCACCACTGTTCAGTGAACAAATTTCCTTGGATGATCTTGGACCGCCGAGAGTGGTCGCAAGACCAGATAGGTGGGATATAAACAAACAAACAAACAAACAAACAAACAAACAAACAAACAAATAAATAAATAAATAAATAAATAAATAATAAAAAGGAGGTGCTGCTGCAATCTTGTTGCACCTGCACCACCTTCTCATGTTCTGATACCCTGGCCCAGGTTTCAGTTTTGTCCCCCATGCTATTTAATATCTACATGAAATTCACGGGAAAGGTTGTTGAGAGGTTTGGGGTTCTGTGCAGCCAGTATGCTGATAACCTCCAACTCCATCTCTCCTTCCTGTCTGATTCCAAGGAAGCAGTTTGGGCCTAGACCATTGTCTAATGTCAGTAATGGACAGGATGAGGGTAAACAAACTGAAACTTATCTGTGAAGATTCTGAGTCATCTAGCTGAGGTCATCTGGAAGTTGAGTCATAGCATTTCGACTTCTTATTAGATTGAAATGTTTCGCTACTCATCCAAGTAGCTTCTTCAGTCTTAGTTGATAGGAGACCCGATATATCCTGGTTTCACTTCCCCCTGGTCTGAATAGGCTCGTTAGATGGACAAAGGATGGCGTATATGTGTGAGAGTGAAAATCCCACCTTTGCAGTCCTTTTCCTCCCATTATCACTTGATGAGCAAGATGTACTCATTTTGGACCGAAAAGATAAATGGTTTGAGAGAGGGGTTGGAGAGGCTATACGTGTGCATATAAAAAATCCCTCACTCAACAGGGGTGGAGGCCTTAGATACAATCTGTCTCCTATTTATCATGCTGCCCTTTCATCTGTCTCCAGAAAGATCAGGACCTCACCCACCAGGAAGACCACTGTTGATGACTGTTAATGACCCATGGCAATGGGTGGAGAAGGACTGCAGAAGCGGGGTTTTCACTCACCCACACCCCCTTCCTTTGTCCATCTAAGGAGCCTATTCAGACCAGGGGGAAGTTAAACCAACCTGGAGGAGATATCAGGGGTCTTCTACCAACTCTCCTCAGATTGAAGAAGCTACTTGAATGAGCAGCAAAACATTTCAACCTAATAAGAAAGGAATCTAGTTGCTATGACTCAACTTCCAGAAAACTGAAACTTAATTCATATAGGAGAGACAGAGAGAGAGAAGCTCCTGTTCAGTCAATAAGCAGATTAAGCACTAGGGATTCAGCATGTACTGGATGGGGTTACACTTCCTCTGAAAACATAGGTGCACAGCTCAGGGAGTAGCAGTGGGAATTCCTGTTTACATAAGTGAAAAAAAGGGGAAGTGTGAGACCCTCTGTTACCATTGGGTAGGACTCCACCTCTCTCATGCAACCTCACTGCATGCATGTATGACTCCATCCCCTAGAACCGAAGGAGCTAAATGCAATTGCCGCATAGAGGAAGAAGACAGCTGTGCAGAGAGGGGTGGCGTTGTCATGCTGGCTTAGAGGGAACTTTGTCTGTTACTATGTTGGTGAGTCATTACATTCCAATGGAACCAAGCAGGATTCTGTCCCTTATTTTGACCAGCTAAATGGCAATTAGGTAAAACATGATCGTCCCCATGCTGCACCTATTTAATTTAGCCACTGCCGATAATTGAGAAAATTCTTCAGTTTATGTTTCCTTCAGAAACAGGGGCAATTACAATAGCTGTCACTGACAAGATTCATTTTTTAATTATTATTATTAAACATCAGTGGTGTGAAACTACAGGTTTATTACTGATATAAGTAAATACAAAGGCAGTGTCATTTACAAATGGGACAGAACACATGCTTTTCACAGCTAATTCTTCTGGTCAGACAAAAGAAATGTAGACTGTGTGGTTAAACACAGATATACTGTGGATAGAACAGAGGTATCACATTGTTAATGAGCTAGACAGAACACTTCCTTCTAATTACACCCCCTCCCAACTGACCTACACAATGGGTTTCAATGGAAATATCAGCCTTATCCAGGCGTTACAGAATTCATCTCCTGAACTTGCTTGTGGCTAGTCTTGTCTCCTCTGTCATCCCTTTCTCTACGCAAGTGACACCAAGGCTGAAGATGAGGCATTCTTGCCTATGTATAGAGCCTACAGATGAGCAGGAAGCAATCCTCTTCAGACTTACTATTGCTCACTTAGAGAGGGAAAGGCTAACTGCTCCATTTAAGCATTTTTTGGGAAACTGAATGCCTGAATAGGTCCAGGGCTAATAGGATAGTGAATGTACAAGAGGTGAGGTGGGAAGGCCAGCTCCAAAAAGGCTGAGGAGCATCTGTGGCCCCAATGACTTCAGCACATGTTCCTTGCACTTTCCAGCTGGTAATTCATTCTCTCTCTCTCCTTTTTCCTTTTCAATGGCAGCTCTAATTAAGGAGCAGCATGTACCACAGTCTGTTAAGGAGAACTCTAATGGCTTCTCTCCCCAGCAGCGACTTCTTCATGTAATTGCTGCAATTAGTAGAATTACTAATGGAAACCATTAGGATGATTCTGTGGAAGCCTCTGGACATGGGCTATATGGCTCCAGCACAAGAGTACAAAATTATTCTGCCCTCAGCGATATGAGCTCTACAGAAGTCTGACACCAGATTCTTTCCACTTTCCCGTTTCTCTCTTGCATGCATAAAAGGTACAGGTTGTATGGGGCTATGGGGTCTCTGTAAAAAGAATTCTGGCACAAGACACTGCAAAAAAGATATCTCAATCTGGCAGACGGGAACTGCCAGAGACTTGCTTTTTACCCAACAATTTTCAGAAAATGCTTATAGTGATATTCAGAATCAGTCAGGATTTAGTTCAGTACAAGTAGTTACCTCTTTTCCCCCTCCACCTATTAGCCTTGTGTTTTCTCCAAGAAGTTACTGAAGGGGGGAAAGGCTGAATTCTGCTCTAGTGGCCATTTTACACATACATTTCCCAATCATTGCCTAGAATGCACGTGGACTAGATAAACTTTATCTTCCAGAATCATATGTTACATATGTATATTGGAAAGCTACTTTACTGATCAATGAAAGCAATATTTCGAAAAAGATGGCACCTTAAAAATATGTAACCAAGTCTCCCAAAGATAGATTTTGGG